ACAAAAATAAAAAAATCACACACACACACACACACACACACACACACACACACACACATATAAGACTTTTTAATATTAATATTTTAATTATATCATATAATAAATAATAACACATTATATAATACATTACATAATTTTTTTGCATTGTGACATTATTTAAATAAAAATGACATATTTCCCACTTAAATTCTTATTACTGTAATATAGTGTTTATATTCCATTACAAAAAACAAATGTAATATAATATTTTATTTAAATCATATTAACTTAAATGTCATACAACAAATGCAATCACAATGTAGAAATAGTTTACAATTATCTATTTGAAATAAATCTTGATCCTAAAATCAAATCGGTTTCTTATTTTTATAGTTAAGATAAATTAAACAGCAGGCTATTTTGCGGTGAAATATGACCTACACGTGTTTTTTTGACAGATTTCTCAAGATGAATAACTGATCTGATGTTTGAGATGAAGCAGCAGGCATTAAACGGATGAGAAGGGTTGTGTTTTCACTGATCAGGTGAGCTGCCTGATGGTGTAACTGAGTTGTGGGCAATGAGTCTCTAGCTGTGTCTCATTTAGAAGGCTGCGCCCTCCGGAGGTCGCATCCTCTGCAGGTCGCATCCTCTGTAGGATGCATATACGAAGTGTCCTCAACCAAGAATTAAACGAGACGGCCTTCGTAGGACAGGCGGAAAAGGAAACAGGAAGTATCACGTTGCTATGCCAACACATTTAGAGCGTCATTTCGCTCTCACACTAGCCTACTTAAATGAAGGAAAATTATTTATAAATGTGGAAAGTAATTTGAAAAAAAAAAATGCTTTTACTTGTTTTATTTTGTTCAATGTTTGAGGAGCTGCAGCGTACATACAGCAGACATCTGTTAGAGAAAAAAAGTTTATCCGTTTTTACCGAGGTGATTTAAGGTAAGTTGTAAACAGAACACCATATCTGCGCTTGTGTGTACATCTGCCGGCGCCGGCATTTTTCAAATTAACAACGGTTGTTTACGGCGACGCAAAGAATTGTGGGTTATCTGTAGCAGCGAAGGACTAGGATACACCTCATGCATCCTCCGAATTCCTGTGAAAGAAGGTCGCATTCGGAGTGTCCTCCTTGCTTTCCTGAATTGAGACAGCCTCGATGACGTATGCAGCCTTCAAATGCGACCTCCGGAGGGCGCAGCCTTCTAAATGAGACACAGTCTCTGTCTCTGCTGATTACTAAAGCCTTGCTGACTAGAGTACGCTATCGTTAGAACTAATTGGCCGTTCAAGCAGCACTATGTAACTTTTTCTGTGTTCAAGATTTGCAAAATGTATATAATGAGCGAGTACATCATGAATTCATCTTCCAAACCGCGTTTTTGTCTTATTCCGA